ATCCTATCCTATCCTATCCTATCCTATCCTATCCTATCCTATCCTATCCTATTCCCTTCTATTCCCTTCCCTTCTATTTTATTCCCTATTCTATTCCCTTCTATTCTATCTCCTATTCCATTCCATTCCATTCCTATTCCCTATTCTATTCTATTCCATTCCTATTCCTATATTCTATTCTGTTTTATTCTATTCTATATTCTGTTCCCTATTCTATTCCATTCCCTATTCTATTTCATTCCCTATTCTATTCCATTCCTATTCCTAAATTCTATTCTAATTCTATTCTATTTTCTATTTTATTTTCTATTCCCTATTCTATTCCATTCCCTATTCTATTCCTCTATTCTATTCTATTCTATTCTATTCCGTTTTATTCCATTCCCTGTTTTATTCCATTCCCTATTCTATTCCATTCCTATTCCTATATTCAATTCTATTCTGTATTATTCTATTCTCTATTCCATTCCCTATTCTATTCCATTCCATTCCTATTTCTATATTCTATTCTAATTCTATTCTATTCTATTTTCTATTCTATTCCCTATTCTATTCCATTCCCTATTTTATTCCATTCTATTCTAATTCTATTCTATTTTCTATTCTATTCCCTATTCTATTCCATTCCTATTTCTATTCCTATATTCTATTCTAATTCTAATTCTATTCTATTTTCTGTTCTATTCCCTGTTCTATCCCATTCCCTATTCTATTCTATTCCTATATTCTACTCTAATTCTATTCTATTCATCATCATCGGCTTCCACCGTTCAAGAGGCTTACCTCGAAGAACAGAGCTCTCCTGCGAGGTCTGCACAACCAAGCTTTCAGGCTGACAAGTTTGACTTCGAGGAGAAAGCTGCTCTTGCTTCACTCCAGAAAACGGCACTGGAAAACAAGAATGTTACCCCACTTCACTTTTACTCTACCAGGAACAGAAGAAGAAACTGCTTGGACGACTAGCTGGTTTCAGCACACGGCTAGTGTCCCAACTAGATCCTCCCCTTCTTTGGTCAGCCGTGGCTCTGAGAACATCTCCCCACCACCAGGTCAGCACGAAGATCAACTTACCCAACTTCTTGGGATCCATCGTCAAAGGCAGAGCTACAGAACCGATGGAGACTTTTGCATGCTCTGAGCTGAATGGACCATGGAGCTGTAGAGGGATCCCCTGAAAGATCCATCAAAGAACATTAGTAGTGTTGGGGACACATTGAATGGTTTACTGGGGCATACAAAACCTTTGCCAGGCCAATTCTCGAATACAGCTCGTCCGCCTGGAACCCGCACTGTATATCGGACATTAACATGATTGAGAGGGTTCAGAGGTATTTCTGGAGAAGAGTCCTCCACTCCTCCACTCACCCCTATGCCTCCAGGCTCGAAATTTTGGGCCTGGACAATCTGGAACTCTGCCGCCTGCGGCCCGATCTAAGCATAATTCACAAAATTGTCTGCTACAATGTCTTGCCTGTCCGCTGGCAACTCATAAAATATTTATCTGGTTCTTTTTAGACTTGCCAACAGAAAGAGAGGGGGGAGCAGTGCGGCAGCTTGCAAACCGAAAGTGCATTCCATAAATGTTTTCAAAGATAGTAACTAGGTGACTGAAGTTTCTGTTGGGCAAAACTCTAACTGGAAAGCTTGATTGACTCTTGGCTATGGATGTGTCCCATTGGAGAATATGAATTACGATACACCCAGGGGGGAAAACCAGGGTCAAGGGTGACAATGAATGATGTGTCTCAGAGTCAGCTACACCCCGACAGTGCCGGATATGTTATCTCCCAATAAATCCTCTTGAAGTTTTGGAAGTTTGGTTCGAGACCCATGATTTAAATGGGGGTAACTGCCAGAATCCTGACAACAACGACTTCTTCAGCTTCAACCACAACAATACACCGGCAAAAAACTGATACAAACTCGATTGCAGAAAATACGACTTCAGCAACAGAATGGTCAACACCTGGAATGTCCTACCCGACTCCATGGTTACAGCCTCAACCCCTTGCAGCTTCAACCTCAAACTGTCTACCATGGACCTCACCCCATTCCTAAGAGGTCCTTAAAGGGGGCGTGCATAAGCACACCAGCGTGCCTACCATCCCTGTCTTACTGTTCCCATTGATCTGTATCGACTTCCCTCATTCTTGTTTATCTTCACAGTTACACTTGTTATCTTGTACATGTTTGACAAACAAATAAATACAAATAAAATAAATAAACCAAAGCATGGGAGCAGCCATGTCCTTGAGCATGGTTTCATTGTTCCTCTTGATCTACTGGTTAGTGTAGGAGTGTCAAACTCAAGGCACATGGGCCAGATTTGGCCCACGGAGTGCTTAAATCTGGCCCGTGGGGCCACCCTGGAAACAGTGAAGGACTGGCCCACAGCGCCTCTGCCAGCGAAAATGGAGCTCAGGAGGGCTGCACATGCCCCACCCAGGCTCCGTTTTCGGCCGCGACAGCCTCCTGCAGCCCTCCGCCAGCGAAAATGGAGTGCTCTGTTTTCGCTGGCGGAGGGCTAGCAAAACAAACTAAAACCAAAAAAAAAGGAGAAATGTTTCCCCTTTCGCGTTTGAGCCTGCAAGACGGGACAGGAAAGGAGAAAGGGAAAGAGGAAAGGCAAAGATTGGAAGAGGGGCAAGGAAGGAAAAAGAAGGGAAGGGAAACAGTGGTTGGATTCAAATTTTTTTTACTACCGGTTCTGTGGGTGTGGCTTGTGGGTGAGGCAGGGGAAGGTTACTGCAAAACGCCCCTTCCCTCCCCACCCCACTAGCCTGCTTTCCAGCTCCTTTCTCCTGTGCAGGGCAACCAAAGGAGACCCAGCCGATCAGCTGGGACTCAATGGGAGGCAGCGAAGAGATGCGGGTGGGGCCAGTCAGAGGTGGGATTGGCCGGTTCTCCCAACTACTCAAAATTTCCGCTACCGGTTCTCCAGAACTGGTCAGAACCGGCTGAATCCCACCTCTGAAGGGAAGGGAGATTATAATAAGAGGGAGGGAGAGTCTGAGGGAAGTCCTGCCTTAGTACTTGGCAACCACAGGTGCCCCCAACATGAATGACATCAAGTTGGCCACACCCTCGCCCCTCTGGCCATGCCCCCCCCCCCCAGAGGTCAAACACAACCCTTATGTGGCCCTCAATGAAATCAAGTTTGACATCCTTAGGTTAGTTGGGAGGGTCTCAGAAGGTTGAGTTTTATTTTATTTTATTGATTTGATTTGTCAAACGCTTACAATATAATGGAAATAAGAATAAACATCAGCATAAATACATGAAATAGGTACGAATAATTGGGGACAACAGGACAAGGGATGGTAGGCACGATTTGTGTACTTGTGCACAGTTTTATACGTTTACCTGGGAGATACAACCAGGTGTTCTTTCAAGAACAGAGGGGTGCTTGTTGGAGATCAGAGGAGGCGGATTGGAGATGGCTGACAACCGTGGTGGGCCAGTCCGAGAACTTTCGTGAGCATTCAAGGAGATGGGATGAGCTGCTGCAGAGAGAAAATGAGAGAAAGTTTAAAACAATGTGAGAGGTAAGTGAGCTTGGTTCTTTCTAAGAAAGATCTGCCTCCTTGATTAGGAGAAACTTGGGAGTTTGAACGTGCGCAACCCCAAATAACTCATGACTGTCTGCAGCCCTTGTGCCCCACCAAGCCAAGAAAGTCTCCCCTGGGCTTAGCTTTCACAGTCCTAATTCTTGCTGTTTTCCGCTTCTGTCCTGGGTCTGGAATTTGGCAACTCTTCAACCCAGTCTCCAGATTACGATCCACTGGGCACTGCCAAGGCTGGACAGTCAAACCCCACTCCCAAGTGCCAAGAGCTGGACTCACCGGAAGGGTTATATTGAAATGTGTGAGACTCGGTGTGTGGGGAGGTGCGGATCACGTCCCTCGAGGCGCCTTGGTAAGGGAGGACCGGGGGCCAACAGGTTGGGGTGGCGGGTTCTCCCGCTTGCTTCTGTCTATCCGGAAGCGGCGTGAAAAGCACCGGTTTTTCTACCCGAGGAGAAAAAAAAGGGCAAGAGAAGTGGATGTCAGAGGGGCTATGTTAGGAAGGTTGCATTTTTGGATGGATGGAGATAGGATGGGATGGAAGGATGGATGGAGGTGGGTGGGGTGGGCTGGTAGAAGAATGGAAGGATGGGTGCATGTATGGAAGAATGGATACAGGGATGGGATAGACAGACAGACCCTGTAGATTGATATTGTAGATGATAGGTATGTATGTAGGTAGGTAGGTAGACAGAGACAGAGAGACAGATGATAGACCGACAGAGAGATGATAGCTATCAATAGACAATGAATAGAGAGAGATGATATAGACAGATGATGATAGATGATATAGATAGATAGAGATAGGCAATGATAGATAGATAGATAGATAGATAGATAGATAGATAGATAGATAGATAGATAGATAGATAGATA